CGCAGCGTGGGCTGCTCGGTTCTGGAGTCTGACAGCATAATGGGCTTGGCCTGTTCTCTGAGAAGCTCTCTGGCTAATTGCTAGCAGGAGTGGGACGTGCTGCAGTGAGAACACCAGCCTGACCCACATGTGATGTTCATTTAAAGGCCAGCGGTGCTGTCTTGTTCTAGATGAGCTGAAGGTCGTAATCGACTCTCACAGCTACAACAATCCATCATCCATCATGTTGGCACTGAGGCTGTTTCTGTACTGGTACTGGCCCAAAAGCTCGGTTCTGTTGTAAATCTCTCCTCCCAAGCCTCGTGCAGAGACATGTGGTGTCTCAGAATGATCACGGTCTTCCTAAAGCTAAGCTCTGTGCACCTCCCTGAGAGCTCTGAAGCAGGAACCTCTGGAAACGACAGATTCAGGGGTGGTCTGCTACTTCCCGTTAAAGAGGGGTGAGTCATCTCTTGTGAAAGGCGAACATTAAACACACGCGTGTGCAGAACCAGGCGTGTTTGTTCTGCGGGTTAATCTTTACGGCGTCTCACCAAGACATTCTGGAGATGAAACAGCCAAAGAACTGCTGAGCCAGAGCCTGAGCCAGGCAGCGCCGCGTCTCTGGGGTCTGGTCGATGATCATCGGGCTGTGCAGCAGGTTGGTGCTACAACGCAGAGACAACAGCTCCAGCTCAAGCCTGCACCAGTAGCACCAGTCAGTCCCCTCTGTGCTGAACCTCAGCAGCTTACCTGAAGATGCTCATAGAAGCGTAGGTGGACACCTGAACGTAGGCCTCGTCCACAAACACCGTCTTGAAACACGAGTAAGGGTAGCGGCAAGTCAGGATCTCTTCGTAGAACTCAAAGATCTCATGCAGGTAGGACATGGAGTGTTTGAGCAGAGGCAGCAGCTGGGGCAGGCAGAAATGGGTCACCTAGCAACAGAAGAGCTGAGTTTGAAACAAGAGACAACAAGCAGCAAACCCAGTCATCAGTCGGCCTCTGCTGCTGGTTTGGCTCAACGTGATGGGAGAGGGTCCCGTCTGAGAACTTTGTGACCAATACTGGATGAAAGCAGATCTTCTACAGCTAGATCTAGATGTTCAGAACATGTGATGTGATGTCACTAAAGTTGTTTAGCTCTGTGACATCCTTCCTACGCAGGAACCATGGATGCTGTAGGCAGCTCTGCTGAGTGGACACAGCATTCCCGCTAGGATACAGCCGTCCTCTCCGTCTAGGAATTATCCCTCTGACCAGTAGGGACGTGCCCGTGGTCACTGATGAAGGCTAGAAGCCATTTTCTCATCACAGGAGGATATATTTATGTGTTTTCTATAATCGGCCGGAATTCTTTTTACAAGCTGATAAAACAAATCAGGCACCTGAGTGGCCACCTGCCGCCTCTGCTAGACTGCAGAAGGGACCCAATGGAACCCAACACACCGTTTTTGTGTTTGTTTTATATTTGAAGTTCAAAAAACATGAAAAGATTTACTGACGTATCTAATTTAACCTGCACACGGTGGCTGCCCAGTTGTCTTTCACAACCACCGTGCTGCTGACACGGAAATATATCAGCCTTTAGGAAACGGCCATCGGCGTTGGCCTCGAATGTCCACCAACTGCTGATTTTAACTCCAACCAAAGGAAAACTTCAGAGGAGTTCAGTCTGATGCCCGCGTGTTCAGCAGACGGGTTTCTGGTAGATGTAGTCAGAAAAAGCTGCAGCTACAGTTTTAATGAATGTTCGTTTGCAGAGTGAGGAGGTTACACCGGAGCGCAGATGGAAGATGTTTCTCTGTCCGAACGGAGGAGGACAACCACGAGTTGTCCCCCCCACTGAAACAGAATGTGGGCGTGTCTGCTCTGCGGATCAGAACCGGCGTTAGACCCTTCCAGAGACCCTCCAGGGTTAGGGTTCACCCTAAACCTGTCTGATTCAGGGCTAAATCACCCACCTGGGGTGGAGGGACCTCTGGTGGTCGGGAGAGGAAGTTACAGGAGGACCAAACTGGACGTCCAACAGAGACGATCTCTATAAGGACACCTGACCAAACGGCGAACCATAACAGCGTATTCAAACACAAACCCTTAACCGGGGTCAGCTTAAAGCTGCCATGTTTTCCAGCCAAGTTTTTCTTTATAAATCACAAAGTCTGTGTAGAAAACGACTCACGAGTGGTGCTCAATGGCATAAATAACAGGCTGCAGTGAAACGTGACTTGTAGAGACAGATCACACACCTCGTGCATGTACGGGTCCACGAGGATCTCAAACGGTCCCACGGCGAGGGAGATGTTGGGAGCTGCGGTGGGAATGGGAAGCACATAGTGGAAGGTTTTCTTCCTCATATCATGCGTGTAGATGGTCTCCAGCAGGTCTCCGCAGGACACCGCCACCATGGATGCGTCTACGGTGAACTCCAGCTTCCAGGTGCACAGCTCTGAGTACGAGTCCACACAGGGGAACCAGAACCTGTGGGAAGAGGAAGAACGACGACAGTTGGCCTTCTGCTCTCCACTCACCAAGCTAAACAGCTGTTCTGTACCAGACAGGGAGACCATGCTGCTAGGGTCAGAGCTAGGCCAACGCTAACCCACACATCCCTGTAATCGCTGGGTTGCCGGTTCAAACTCAGGCTCAGCCTGCTGACTGCTAAAGAGCAGCTTGTTCATGACACTCTTAGAGGCAGGAACGTCCTCTCTGGCGATCCGCTCAGACCCACTAGGCCAGGAATTAAAATCAAGGAGCGGTTCATTTTTAAATCAAATGAAAACAAGAAGATGAATGTGTTTCCTCGGATGCATGAATGAATATTGTCGCTGTTCACAAGGTAAAGCTGGAAATTCACCAGCGGACTGAGTTAAAACATCCCAGAAGTGCAGTAGTAACTTGTTCTGTCTGGTTCTAACCGGTTCTAGCTGTGGGTAGGGAGGGCCTTCTGAAGAAGCCTCTGACTGAACCTGGGCAAGAGCAGCTGATTCGTCAAGCCACCCCGACTTCTCACCCACGGGACGATCCCAGCCCAGAGCGCTCCTCGCTGGGAGGCGCTCGTGTTCATCGGACAGTGAGCGACCTCACGTTATGCATGGTTCTAGTGACAAAACAGGATTAAAGGTTACGATACTGTTGGACCTGGAAGAGTTCTGGTATCCAAAGGAGAACACATGGGCCCCCCTCTCTGCCATACTGCCTTCTACGTCCGGAACCACAAAGTGAAGGCCTCCTTTGGGCTGGTCCAGTGAGAACTCGATGTACACCTTCAGCACTTTCCCATCTGAAAACAAAACAAACACCCAGATGGTTCTGATCCAAGCTACCAGACAAGCTTTCTCTTCCCGACCAATCTGACGAAGAACTGATGGATCCCATCATCTCACCATCTCCTTGTTTCCAGATCTCAGAGGGAACTTTGATGACCAGTTCCCCGTTCCCAGCATCCGGATCCACAGCACTGACTGCTGCTGTGTAGGCGCTGGAGAAGTAGTTCAGGTTCCTCCTGTTAAACACAAACAATCAGAATTTTAGCCGTTTCTTCTTCAGAACCAGGTTCTGTCGTCTAACACGCTCCTGGACCAGGTAGAGTAAAACAGCTGCACAGATCCATGATGAGGAAAAACATTAAAAATCTGTCATTCTGGCTACGAAAGGCCCCAGACACCTAATCCTGTTGGGACCTTTTCTAGAGCGGACACACGATTAGATCTGACAGCTTTCTGTGCTGCCGCGGGTCTGCTACCTCTCACAGGGAAACGTGGACCGAAGGGCAGCTAGAAGAGCTGCTGCAGGAGCCTGGGGACGCAACAGGAAGTCACGGCACATTTTCTTTGTTTCTTTAAGGTTGTTTAAGTTTTAGAACAGTAGCGGGAAAAATCCCACCAAATACGACACAAGCAGCGTGGAGTAGGATGGCTCCATTCTGTCAGGTCCCTGCTGGAAACTGTGTTCCCTCGCCCGGACGGGCCGCCTCTGGAGCCAGGCCAGGAGTTGGGGAGCGTTGGCGAGCGCCTGGTGCCCGGGCTTTTACCCAGTGAGCCCGAAGAGGAGACTTGGGTCCCCGCTTACGTGGCCTCAGCACTCGTGGGAGGGGCCTAAGCGGTCGGGTGCATTGTGTGTAGGGTGGTAGCCGAAGACAAGGACCTTGCTGGTCTGATCCTCGGCTTGGTATGTGGAATGTCACCTCCCTGGTGGGGAAGGAGCCTGAGCTGGTGGGTGAGGTAGAGCAGTTCTGACTTGATGTAGCTGGAAAAACCTCAACGCACGGCTCTGGCTCCGGAGCCAGTTTCCTTGAGAGGGGCTGGACTTCCTACCACGCTGGAGTTGTCCCCGCTGAGAGGCGTAGAGCCGGGGTGGGCATACTAGTTGCCCCATCTTGGTGCCTGCATGTTGGGGTTTACCCCGGTGAACCAGAGGGCAGCCTCCCTTCATGAGTGTGTGTGTGTGTGTGTGTGTGTGTGCGGGGTGGGGTGGGGGTTCTGACTGTGGTCTGTGCTCATGCACCAAACTACAGTTCAGACTACCCACCCTTTTTGGAGACCTTGGAGGAGGTGCTGGAAAGCGCTCCTTCTGGTTCTGCTGGGGGACTTTAACGCTCACGTGGGCAACGACAGTGAGACCTGGAGAGGTGTGGTTGGGAGGAACGGCCCCCCAAGTGGTGTTTTGTTACTGGACTTCTGTGCTCATCATGTATCATCCATAATGAACACCACGTTCAGCCGTAAAGGTGTCCGTATGTGCTCTTGGCACAGGGATACCTTAGGCCGCAGCTCAATGATCGACTTTGTTGTCGTTTCATCTGACCTGCGGCCGCATGTCTTGGACACTCGGGTGAAGAGAGGGCGGAGCCTCCAACTCACCACTACCTGGTGGTGACAGATCATTTGCTGCGGTTGCCATCCAGGACCGGGGTGGAGGGCTCTGGTTAAATAAAGACAGATCAACTGCACAACTGTCTCAAGGAGCACATGGAGGAACACTCACTGCTTGGATTCACTGTGGCACACCTCCAGCGTAGGGTCGTTGTAAATGAACGGGGCTTCCAGCTCGTTGACACGGACCCTGTAGATGCGACACTGTTTACTGTTTAGCTTGATCCTGTTCAGGTTGACCACCGTGGGGATGATGGTGAGCTCCACGTAGCCCTGAAGGACAGCCAGGCAAAGGCATTAGTGAACGCTGATGTCTGTGTGTCACCTAACAGGTCACAGGAAAAGGATCAGCTCACTTTCACCTCTGTGAACCATGACGCTTCAAAAATAAAAGAATAAATAGCACCCTCTCAACAATAAGTCCTTCTTGTTTGTTTACCAACAACAGGACGTCAACAATGTTGCTTCAGCTGTGTGAAAACACGCCAAATATTAAACTGACTAATTTCTATAGAACAAGGCATCAGAGGGTTGTTTCTAATGGACTCTCAGCTGAAGGGTAGAACAGTCCTTAGAGCTCAGGTCAGAACATAAGAGGTGTCCTCAGACTCAGCGTGAACAGCTCAAAACTACCTGGTTTGACACGAATAACAAAAGGGAAGTGACGTATGGGACGTCTAACGCACTTACTATGACAGACTTCCTTTGAAAGTTGATGTTGTTGATACACACCACCTGCTGGGTCGTAGAACCAAAACAGCGTATTAATGCGTCACGAACGACACGCAGGATGCGTTCATGTGCGGTTTTACCGAACGAGCTGATGTGGCTTAAAAGTGGAATTGAGAAGATAAATGATGGAAGATACTTATAGTTTAAAGGGTCGCGGGCTCTCGAAACCTTTATCCTTCTTCCTGTTCATCCTGCTGCCGGTTGTTGGGTCCTGACTGCAGCTAGCCGAGCCGAGCGCTAACGCAGAACACACACACGTCGTGCACGTGCCGCAGCGACACGCCCGGACACTCCAGGTCTAGGAGAAACGTCACAAGTCCGTTCTCTAAAAGGTTAAATGAAGTTTGGACATAAATTAAGCTAGCAGCTGGACGCTAGCCGCTCTGGCTTCCCTCGTCCGGTGGTCCTCCGCCGCCGTTACCGTTAAACATGTTTAAAAACGTCCGTGGACATTAACGGACAGGACACAGTATCGTTCAGTGATCGGTTTAATCTAAACATCACACCACTTTACGACGTTTTACAAAATCTGTTTAATCCTCAGCATCTGTCCCTCATCGGTGTTCGGCCATTTTGTTTTTGACCTTTCACCTCCCGCGTAAAAACAAGGATTATTTTTCACATCCAGACTCCTCCCTACATGCTAACGGGCAGATTATTTAATTTACAGTGTAGATCGCACGTATTACACGTTATGGTTCACAGAAGTCCTTTGATCAATTTAAAAAATTATAAATAAAAACGTCACATCCGGTACTAAGAGTACGGAAGCCGCATTGGCACGCGATCACGTGGTTCGTTCGTGCAGCACTCGACACCCAACATTTTCTCATTTCCCCAGTAATGTTGGTAATTATTGACCAATAATGTGCATTGATTACTAGACGGATCCTGTATTTATTAAAGTATTTATCTTTTGGAGCGGCAGAAGGTTAAATTTTAGAGGAAGCCAGGCTGAGTTCAGGGTTCCCAACTTTTTATCCCCCCTTGGCAGGGTCCAGGACAAACCCCAACCCCAGCTCCTACACACACACACACACACACACACACACACACACACACACACACACACACACACACACACACACACACACACACACACACACACACACACACACACACACACATTAAAAGTTATTTAGTACACACTTTATAGAGTTTAGATTATATACTAATGGGTGTTTCATTGGGATTTTATACATGTAAATGTTACATATATGATCTTGGTAAACATAATCTGCACAGACAACGTTGTGGAGACCCTTGGGCACCACTGATTTAAGGCATGTAGATCACATTTAACAAAAATAGATAATTGTAAAAAAGTAAGTGTTTATGCAACACTACACTGTACGGGTGTGTAGTGTTTTATAATAATGTCACACCGTGTCAAGAAAACCAAAATGGAGCAATAAGCCCTACTGTTCTCTGCATGCTAGCATGGAGATGCTTCAGTTTCCTTTCAGATGTTCATCCTTTACCAAAGCATTGCTGTTATTGTCCCAAACACCCAGATGTCCTCCAGTTGGTCCGATGTCTCTGCCTGGAATCAGATGGAAGAAGAAGAAGAAAATATCATTTCTATAGCGCCTCTCAAGATAAAAACCACGAGGCGCTTCACAAAAACAAAAAATGTGAAAATATAAAGAATGATTTAGAAAATGTTTAAAAATATATTTAAAATGAGCAAAAAGAGACAATTGTGAATAAAATTTTAAGAAAGAGAGAGAGTGAACAGGAAAGAGGGAAACCAGTGGATCCTGAGGAAGGTGGAATAGGTGGGGAGAGCAGAATAAAGAGAGAGAGGTGAAGAAGGTCATACAAACGCCAGCTTGAACAAGTGAGTCTTCAGCTGCTTTTTAAAGGAGACCACTGAGTCCACTGATCTCAGGCTCAGGGGGAGAGAGGTCCAGAGTCTGGGGGCCACAGCAGCAGATGATCTGTCACCTTTGACCTTTAGCCTGGTGCTGCACGGAAAAGGAGCTGAACGGTTCAGCTGATCTAAATCAGGAGGAAAATGTCTGGCTGTTTATGCTCTGACTGACAAGCTGAGATGAATTATTTTCTGCAGGTAAAATTTTATTCTTATTTCATTTTTAATGTTTCATGATTACATGCATCTATGTGCCTCCAGCCCAACCGCTGTCAATAGTGATTCATGTATTCAATATTTCTGGTTAAAACCAGGTAATATGTAGATGACACAAGTGGTGCAAAGCCAAATCACCACATGTCTTCAGATGTCATACGTATTTATTAGAGCCAGATGTCATAATAAGAGTATGCAGAAAACTGTGTGCAACAAGTTTAATCTGCACACAGTTTTCACACACACCCATGAGGACCTGAAAGAGATCAGAAGCATCGCTTTGTGGATGTTACCCCCCCACCCCCACCCTTCCATATTGTCTAACCCAAGAACGTGACAGGCATGGACCAGAGCGGACAGATGAGATAAACGGGATGGGACTAGACTGCAGACGGGTCGGTTTGCTCAGTGCTTTGTAGAAATGATTTTCTCCCAGAACACAAGTAGGATCACAGCTCTACATGTCACACCTGTCATCAGGTGTCATGACTGAGGGGTGAAAACCACACGAGCAAAGTAAAACAGGTCAGTAATGTAAAAAGTCCTCAACGTTACAAAACGATTACGCAAATATGAAGTCATGTAATGTTTACTGTGAAGGGTAAATAAGTCCTCCTAGGGGCGACGGTGGCACAGGAGGTAAGTGCTCGCCCGTAATCAGAAGGTTGCAGGTTCGAGTCCCACTCAGTCTGGTGGTTGGAGGGACCGGTGGCGCTTGTCCTCAGCAGCCTCGCCTCTGTCAGCGTCCAGGGCAGCTGTGGCTACATTGTAGCTCATCACCACCAGGGTGTGACTGGGTTAGGGTGACTGTGTTGTAAAGTGAGACTGGCACGGCTGGCAGCCTTGAACATTCCTTCTGAAATAGTTGATGTTCTTTTTGATCTTCATGGGAACGTTTTCACGAGGATAAGCCGAATGAAAGGGAGCGGTGCTGAGAAACGTTTATGTCGGCTTTATTCTCCAACTCAACAGTTCAGACTGTTCACATCTGCCCCGGCCGGGTCTTTTCTTTCTGCTGCTCTCTGGCCTCTCGCCCCTCCCCGAGGAACAAGGACAGGAACATGATGTCTTCTGTGAAGGTGACGGGATTTAACATGTTCAAAGGAACCGGTCTCCTGATTATGATTTTAAGGAGTGAACAATGGGACGCCTGCCTAATCTGGACCCTGATAAGCTTCTCTGTGCTTTTGAGCGGGGGGGTTAATATTAGGAATTTCATGGGTTGCCTTTATTCCCCCGCCTCCTCTCCACTCGGCACATTCTTTGACTCAGTTCAGCAGATTAGAGCAGAAGTTTTGTGCCTCTCAGCAAAAAAACTATAATTTCTCTGCAGTCTTGGCTTGGGGTTAGGAAATGTTTGACAGCGTGACCCCGGGGCCCCGTCGGGGTCCGGTGAGGGGAGGTGTATAAATACCCTGCTAATGACACGGGTGCCAAAGCCGGTCTGCCTGAGGAGATGAAGGCCCCACACACCTGCAGCAGTGAGAAGGTGAGAAACCCAAGAGCGGCTCTTTTGTGCTGAACACTGCCAGATTTTCTCCATCACACTCGTGTGGGACGGGGTTAGGGTGGTAGACCAGGAGAGCATGCCTGGGACTGACTGCTGACCTTCTGACTGTTCCATCAGATGAATCCTCAGACTCTGCTCCTCATCCTGCTGCTGCTTCCTGCTGCCCGAGCCTTCCAGTTCACACGGATGGCTCAGTATGTTGACAGCCACCAAGAGGAATATGTGGAGGTAAAACAACGCTAGCAGGTGCGGTCTCATCACGCAGCTGCAACGGGTCGGAGGTGTTTTCACACACACACACATTCAGGTTCTCCAAGGAAAGTAAGAATCTTTTACGTGATCGCTAAAGCAGCAGTCCTGTCACCGTTTACCGCCTGAAACTCCAGCATTGGCATTCCTTCCATGATGCTTAGATCAAAGTACAAATACACCATGTGTGCTGGTGGATGCTCTGGTGATCCTGGTAGGTCCAGGAAAACCAGGAATGCATCTATCCAAGGAGAAGCTTTGTAGTTACTAGCTAGACTAGGGAAAAGGGCGAACGAGAAAAGACGTCATCAACAAGACGTTTTACAGAACTCACTCTGATCGGATCCCCAACAGCTTCACCACAATCCACACCTTTGGGAATGTGATCGGAATCTTCCATGTTGTTCAGGACAAGCGGGACTTTATGACCCCCCAGCATTTAACAGCTCGGTACGTTGTACTTCTCTGTTTGAGCTGAGCTGGAGAAACAAGACTGAACGTCTTTCAGGGCATAAATAATTCCAGGTGTAAGTTTTGTGATTCCAGGATTGTGTGGAGGATTTTTCAGGAATGTGATGTTTCATGTGTTCCAGGCTCTCAGGGACTGGGTCGCAATTGAAAGTGACTCCAGCAACGTTCTGAAGAGGCCAGACCTGCACCACATGATGGAGGTGGTGGCTCAGAAGCTACGGCTGATGGGAGGGACCGTGGAGTTAGTTGACATTGGAGAGCAGGAGGTCGGTGTGTGTTCCTGGGTGTTATTGTGTGTTATTGTGTGTTGTTGTGTGTATTTGTGTGTTGTTGTGTGTATTTGTGTGTATTTGTGTGTTATTGTGTGTATTTGTGTGTATTTGTGTGTTGTTGTGTGTATTTGTGTGTATATCCGTGTATTTGTGTGTTGTTGTGTGTATTTGTGTGTATTTGTGTGTATATCCGTGTATTTGTGTGTATTTGCGTGTATTTGTGTGTATATCCGTGTATTTGCGTGTATTTGTGTGTATATCCGTGTATTTGCGTGTTATTGTGTGTATTTGTGTGTATTTGCATGTTATTGTGTGTTGTTGTGTGTATTTGTGTGTATTTGCGTGGTATTGTGTGTTATTGTGTGTTGTTGTGTGTATTTGTGTGTATTTGCGTGGTATTGTGTGGTATTGTGTGGTATTGTGTGTTGCTGTGTGTTATTGTGTGTTGTTGTGTGTATTTGTGTGTATTTGCGTGATATTGTGTGGTATTGTGTGTTGCTGTGTGTTATTGTGTGTTGTTGTGTGTATTTGTGTGTATTTGCATGTTATTGTGTGTTGTTGTGTGTATTTGTGTGTATTTGCGTGGTATTGTGTGTTATTGTGTGTTGTTGTGTGTATTTGTGTGTATTTGCGTGGTATTGTGTGGTATTGTGTGTTGCTGTGTGTTATTGTGTGTTTTTGTGTGTATTTGTGTGTATTTGCGTGGTATTGTGTGTTATTGTGTGTTGTTGTGTGTATTTGTGTGTATTTGCGTGGTATTGTGTGGTATTGTGTGTTGCTGTGTGTTATTGTGTGTTGTTGTGTGTATTTGTGTGTATTTGCGTGATATTGTGTGGTATTGTGGTATTGTGTATTGTGGTATCGTGTATTGTGGTATCGTGTATTGTGGTATCGTGTATTGTGCTATCGTGTATTGTGGTATCGTGTATTGTGGTATCGTGTATTGTGGTATCGTGTATTGTGGTATCGTGTATTGTGCTATCGTGTATTGTGGTATCGTGTATTGTGGTATCGTGTATTGTGGTATTGTGTATTGTGGTATCGTGTATTGTGGTATCGTGTATTGTGGTATCGTGTATTGTGCTATCGTGTATTGTGGTATCGTGTATTGTGGTATCGTGTATTGTGGTATCGTGTATTGTGGTATCGTGTATTGTGGTATCGTGTATTGTGGTATCGTGTATTGTGGTATCGTGTATTGTGCTATCGTGTATTGTGGTATCGTGTATTGTGGTATCGTGTATTGTGGTATCGTGTATTGTGGTATCGTGTATTGTGGTATCGTGTATTGTGGTATCGTGTATTGTGCTATCGTGTATTGTGGTATCGTGTATTGTGGTATCGTGTATTGTGGTATCGTGTATTGTGGTATTGTGTATTGTGGTATCGTGTATTGTGGTATCGTGTATTGTGGTATCGTGTATTGTGCTATCGTGTATTGTGGTATCGTGTATTGTGGTATCGTGTATTGTGGTATCGTGTATTGTGGTATCGTGTATTGTGGTATCGTGTATTGTGGTATCGTGTATTGTGGTATCGTGTATTGTGGTATCGTGTATTGTGCTATCGTGTATTGTGGTATCGTGTATTGTGGTATCGTGTATTGTGGTATCGTGTATTGTGGTATCGTGTATTGTGGTATCGTGTATTGTGCTATCGTGTATTGTGGTATCGTGTATTGTGGTATCGTGCAGAGGCTCACTGATCTTTCGTGTCGACAGCTCCCTAACGGACAGATTTTGGCATTGCCCAAAGTCGTGACAGCTCAGTTTGGGAACGACACAAGCAAACACACCGTGTGTGTCTACGGTCATGTAGATGTCCAGCCAGCGAAGCTGGAGGACGGCTGGAACACAGATCCCTACAACTTGACCGAGATCAACGGTAAAATCATTTAACCGTTACCTTTACAGAACCGTCACAGATTCTGCTAAATCTGAGATCCTCATGTGTGCCCCAGACAAGCTGGTTCCCAAAGTCACACTCTCCTGGTCAGTGCGCCCCAGGGCAGCTGTGGCTGCATCGTAGCTCATCACCACCAGCGTGTGAATGACTGATTGTGTTGTGAAGCGCCTTGGGGGGGGGGGGGGGGGGGGGGGGGGTTGTAGAACCCTAAGAATGCGCTATACAAATACAGGCCAGTTACCATTTACCATCAATCCCACCCCATCACACTACCACCACCTTCTCTCACTGTTGCTATGGTGACGCTTTAGAGTTAGTCTGACTCCAGATGGAACGGGATGCAAACCTTCCAGAAAGTCAGAGCACCAGGTTTTTACCCAGAAGTCTTTGAGATCATCGGGATGTTTTAGGTGACTTTGTATTGGTTTTACTCAGCAGACGTTCTGGTCTAGAAGCTCATGACCTCTGACCTCAACAGAGTAGTGTGGTTCCAGAGCAGATTCTGCTGTGACATACATGCATCATGCTGCACAGAAACTTGTTCCATTCTACTTTCAGGTCATCTTTATGGAAGAGGAGCATCAGACAACAAAGCTCCGGTTTTAGCCTGGATCCACGCTGTGGGGGCTTACCAAGCCCTCCATATGGTGAGATGTTACTGCCGTAGTGTTGGAGCTCCAGAGGTGATGCTCCAGCTTTATATGAGGCAGGACAAACTGGTGCATTTGTCAGTCATCAGCAGAAGATGGTTTAGATGAACAAAACCATACGCAGATGTAGCAGGAAGACAGAGCACAAAGGCCTACTTTAGAGGATAAGAGAAGAATTCCTAGTTTCAATCAGACCAGCTGGAAAAGCTACAACACTCCTGTGTTCCCAGTAAATCCATCAAACTGGTGGTCTCAGTCCCACTTGCTGCCACTTTCACAGAAGCGGTTCTGATCTTTCAGGACTTGCCTGTGAATGTGAAGTTTGTCATCGAAGGCATGGAGGAGACCGGCTCCAACGGCCTGGATGCCATGATCCTGGCCCAGAGAAACACCTTCTTCTCAGACGTGGACTACATCATCATCTCTGACTGTGGCTGGCTGAGCAGACGGCCCGCCCTCACCTACGGAACCAGAGGCAACTGCTACTTCTTTGCCGAGGTTAGCGTGGCCTGGATTCAAACCGCTCTTCGCTGGCGTGTAGGAAGGAGTCCAGCTGTTTGGGAACAAGATGTTTGTGTTTGCAGGTAGAAGGACCTAAACAGGACTTGCATTCTGGTGTTTATGGGGGAAGTGTTATTGAACCAATGACTGACCTCATTGGCATCCTAGGTGAGTCTAAGTACTGGGCTGGGACCATCCCAGTCTCAGTCCTTTAGTTTTAGGAGTCAGACTTTTCTTCATTAACTGATCGAATTCCAGCAAACCCTGTCATGGCTCGAGGTAAGCGCCTAACCCAAGACATGCAGAATCATCACACAAGTCCAAGGCAGTAAAGTAAAAATGTCTTTATTGTAAACGGTAACTGAAAACCACATAGGGAAGTCCTGTGCTGAGGAGCCAAGACGGTTCGAGTCTCTGAGGTGTTCCGGTTGAGAGGAAGGGAAGCCGGGGAGGGCGCTGGGCAGAGGGTGAGGGATCCAGTAGGAGTGAGGCAGCAGAGGGAAGTCCGAACAGGAACGGCGGAGGAGGACGGGACGTATTGATTAATTCCAAAAACAAAGACAGCAAGGGTGAGAAGATGACGAGGTGATCCTGAGCGAGACAAAACAGGCGTAAGGGATAATCCAATTCCAAATCCAAAAATACTATCCAAGGTCAATAATCCACAAGTCCAAGGCGAGTCAAACACGAGTTAGCAAAGATCAAAGTTTCAAAGCTGAGTGGCTGGTGCTACCTGAACTGGTACAACCATCCGGCAAAGTGAAGTGTCTCCATCCTCCTTTTAAACCCGCGTTCCTGATTAGGGAATCGCCTGCCGCTGTTGTTCCCTCTGCTCCTCACTTGCGGAGAATAAGCTCAGATTCTGGTGAGAGGAGATGGCGTGACTCACCTCTGCCCAGGGACATGACAAGCCCATCACCACACCTGAATCCCACTCTGGCAGCATACCGACGTAAAGTCACAGCGTGATGCTGCACCAAGTAGCTCCTTTATCATAACTCACAGCTTTGTGTCCAGAAGTAGAAAAGCACGAACCAAATCCCAACAATGGCCGTTCTAATACCAGCTCTCTCAACAACAACCCCCAGATTCACTCATCAGCCCCAGTGGAAAGATCCAGATTCCTGGGATCCGGGAAGCTGTGGCTCCCCTCACGGATGAAGAATGGAAGATGTACCAGGATATTGAGTTTGACTTGGAGAACTACAAGAACAAGACTGGTGTCAGCCAGCTCATGTATGACAACAAGGTAGTGTTGTAAAGTGCCTTGGGGGGTTGTAGATCCCCGGTCGTAAGCTCTGAATCACAACAGCAGCTAAGTGTTTGTCATTTCCAAAGGTGGACCTGCTAGCTCACATGTGGCGCTACCCCACCGTCTCCATTCACGGCATCGAAGGGGCCTTCTCTGACCCCGGCACTAAGACCGTCATCCCTGCGAAGGTTACGGGTAAATTCTCCATCAGACAGGTTCCCAACATGGACCCCGCTGTGGTCAAAACACAGGTACAACACGTTTATGAGCCTTTGCTTTCCCAGAGACTCTTCTACAGTGTTCTTGTTTTTGCTTTAGGTAACAGACTACCTTCACTCGGTATTTGGTAAGAGGAAGAGTCCCAACAAGCTGAAAGTCTCTATGGTGATTGGAGCCAAGCCTTGGCTGGCGAACACCCAGCATCCGCTCTACGAGGCGGGAAAGGCAGCTGTGAATAAAGGTACAAGACACCAGTAGGGCCGGACATCCAGCACCGTTCACCGCATCCGGTTCCAGTCATTCAACCCAAGTCAGTTTATCTCTACAACACAAGTCAGCCCTTTGCAACGTAAACATCCCAACCGAAGCTGGAACTGGTGCTGATGAAGGCAGAGCCTCCTATACGGAGGACCGCAGGGATGTGTTGCTTTAACCACAGTAATGTCATTTTTACTTTCACATGACTTAAACACGTCATGAGTTATTATTGGTGTCTCAGCGTCAGAACACACCTCATCTAGTCGTTTCATTTGCTCATGAACCAGTTGGGTTGTGGTTCTGGGACGTAGCCTTGTTCAGTTATGAGGGTCTGTTCCCGTTTTGGTGAGGTGGCTCGGGAAGTTGTTTCCTGTCTCAGTATGACGGGATTACTAGTAAAGCCAGCAGGAATTAGCAATGACAGCGAAACAAACACAGGAAATGGATGTGATCTTCATTTCCACAACAAACCGCTGAGTTGTCCCGCCTGGTCTCCTTCAGTTTTCAATGTGGATCCTGATCTGATCCGGGAGGGGGGGACCATCCCTATAGCCAGAACCTTCCAGGATGTGACAGGAAAGAGCATCATCATGATTCCCATTGGAGGCTTCGACGATGGACTGCACTCCCAGAACGAGAAAATGAGCAGGTTAGACATCTGTTCTTCGTCTGTTCCACAGAGACTTCCTGTAAACACCAGGAGAACCCGTTTGACTAGAAGCAGCAAAACATGATAGTGGATCAGATTTAAAGTGTCTGCGCCGTCCGTTCCTGCCTTTTCTAGAAGAAAGCACCTTTCAGTGAGACTGAGCTAAAGGCATCCTGTTGAGAATTATGTCATCGAGGCTGTTTGGGTCCGTTCCCAAAGGAAGCGTCCTCTCCTGAAACGCTGCAGGAGGTGCCTGCAGGTAGAAAACGGACTGAGTGGAAGACCTCGCGCTGAGTTCTGGTTATTTATGTGTTTGCTAAGTCTGAGCGGCTGTGGTGGCCATCTTGAATCAGGCTAGACGTGCATCCAGTGAGTTTTATCATGATTCATTTCTTAAAACTACAGAAAAACAACAAACACAGACGTGAGCAAAACCAACACGCTTGTCTTTAGCCAGCAGGCGATAGTGATGACAACAGCAGTCAAACTAAAATATGCTCACCTGTGACCTACCTGCGTGGTTCCAGCTGAAATACTAGCGAACAGACGGACTTACAGGTGCAACAAGGATCACTGGTGTAAGTGTCCCAACATGGACACCACTTACAGAAGGTGTCGTTAACACAGGGAACAGGTGGAGATAGAGGTGCTTCCCTTTGAACAGCGCGTGTAGAGGAGCGCTAACACCTCAGATTAAACAGGTTTTGGATTTTCACGGCTGGAATTAAAAGAAAATCTGATGTTTGTGACCGGCGCGGGAAAAACAGAAACTAGCTTCTGGTCTGAGCCCTGGGCAGCTGGTGGCGTTCCACAAGGAGGTCAACCCCGACTCCGGTGTTTGTGCGTTAGCGTTATAGCAGAACAACGTGTCATCAGACAGATGTAGCTTCTGAAGCCTCTGCTAGTCGCTCACATTTGGTTTTTCTCTGAGACACAGCGACCAGAACGGATATCGGATTACCGGAGACGTGCAACCGAACTCCGACTGCTAGCTGGTATCACTACCGGAGGTGCAGGCGTGCTTTAGACCGATTGACTCAGAAGACCTGCGACCTGATTTGGACACCGGGGACGGTTCTGTTCATCTTCAGAACCAAAATCAGTTCCGTTTGTTTACTTTTCATCTCTGTGCTCCACCGGCAGCTCGCAGCTGACTCCAGGTCCTAGCTCCATCATCTGTCCCCATATAATTCAGTAATCTACAGATAAATAAATAATGTGCTGCCAGTTTTGCTGTGTGTGTGTGTGTGTGTGTGTGTGTGTGTGTGTGTGTGTGTGTGTGTGTGTGTGTGTGTTGATGTAACTCTGGTAATATTTAACCGATAGTTTACCAGAATAAATCTTCCAGATGCTGGTGTAACTCGCTAGCTCGGTTCGTTGTTTGCACTAATCCAGGATGACACGGAACTTCTACCGGTCCCAGGTGTGTGTGTGTGTGTGTGTGTGTGCGTGTGTGTGTGTGCGTGTCTTACGTGTTGCAGTGACGTATGAGGAACACAGTTCTTCGCTGTCTGGAGGAGAGGATTTGGATTTCTGTAATGATTTATGACAAAAGTCCTTAATAAATAAACCCGGGTCATGTTTATATAGATGCTAAAATGTAGCTACACTGAACTTCTATCCTAATCCGAGTCTGGCCGATACCTTTGAAGACGTAACAGGTGTGTGAGGGCCAGAAGGGGGTAAATGCTTCTTTTCTGCACCGTTAAACAAGAATACTTAACTTGTTTCCTTACACCTTTTTTCTTTATGAACAGATTATTTTTCTCCTTTTCAGATACAACTACATCGAGGGAACCAAGTTATTCATCGCCTACCTGAACGAAGTGTCCCAGATTAAGAAAACTAGTGTGTGATCTATCTATCTATCTATCTATCTATCTATCTATCTATCTATCCATCCACCCCCCCACCCCCCTCTCGTTCCTACAGAACACCTGGCCGTGCTGTACCTGTGTGTGTGTGTGTGTGTGTGTGTGTGTGTGTCATAATGTAGTAAAACATGAAGAATGCAATCGCTGGTCTGCAGTTTTTATTGTTGCTCTTTCTGAGTTTTTTGGACTGGAGCCTTTCCAAACACTCGAGGCCCGCTTACAAAACACATTTAACGTGATCAACACACCAACTTCATTCAACATCAGAGGATCTAAGAACAAACGGCTGAAATAATCCGTGAGTGTGCGAGGCTGAATGAATCTGCAGGCGGGAGACAGAGACACGGATGCAGGACGCCACTTCTCCTTGACCCAACCTGAGTTCTCATCACTGACCCATCAAAGCCGGGTTAGGGTTCAGATGGTCCAGCCTCTCCTCACCATGCCTCTCTCCCACACCTCATCGTCACTTTAACACGGAAAAGGATCTCCCAGTCAAACCTGTGGAAGTATAAAAAATGGGCTTTGCACATAAAACGTTGTAGTTGGATTAAATAATCTACAGGTCTGCACAGTGGTGCAGTGGTTGGTGCTGTTGCTCTGCAGCAAGAAGGTTCTGAGTTCACATCCTCACCTGGGGTCTTTCTGCTTGAGGTTAGCATGTTCTCCCTGTGCATGCGTGGGTTCTCTCAGGGTAGTCCAGCTTGTGTGTGAGTGTGTGTGTGTCAGGGACTTGCATAAACCAGCCAGCAGAGCACGGATGATTTTCTTGACATCTTAATTTATTACTTTTTTTCTTTTCTCCAAAGAGGGTTCCAGCCAGTACTCGACATTACAAGAGAATGGCCGTAGTAACAAAGTAACCCAAACTCAGGACCTGACTACAGACATGTACAAAACAAACCTCCCACAGACACAACAGGATCAACTGAAGTAGTGGCTGATCAGACCACTGCCAACACACCAGGGTGGGGAGACTTCAGTAAACAAAGCACATAAATAAACTACCCCTAACAAATTCATACTAATCAGTCCATTCTGTTTGAGTTACTTCAAATGAAAACATATTACTATCAAAACCCAACTACTATTTACAAAAGAGAATAACTAAATACACAAACACAGGAATCTTCTCCCTTGAGAGTTGGTATGACCCAATGATGCTGATCAGGCCAAGTGATCTGCTCCAGCTGCTCCAACTCCACGGCCACTGGCACCTCAAAGAAAACATATTAATCATACAAACCCCTGCAGACTAAAACCGATGAGTAACTGAATGTGTGCGCTTCATACAGTCACCCAAACAGTCAGTCCATGAAAACAAACACCTTTGTTCAAAATAAAATAAACATTAACAGTTATTTACTTGAAGTGTGACAGCAGGGCAGTTGTCACAGTGTGTGTGTGTGTGTGTGTGTGTGTGTGTGTGTGTGTGTGTGTGTGTGTGTGCGTGCGTGCGTGCGTGCGTGCGTGTGTGTGTGTGTGAGTTTGTTGCCCTGCGATGGACTGGCAACCTGTGCAGGGTGTACCCTGCACAGGTTGCCCGGAGACTGCTGCAACCCTGCACGGATAAGTGGATATAGGACATGGATGGATGGATGTTAATCTACAACCTTCTGATCTTTAGGGAACATTTCAGGCTTGTAACGTCCAGCAATGATCAGTGTTTAGGTACAGTTTGACCGTTCAACATCTGGTCAACATCTGGTCAAAAGGGAGACACGAGACTGCACGTGTTCCCTTTAAAATGGCCTGCCTTCATCCCATCAGCTGGAGCTCAGAACCTCTCAGCAGCTCTGAACACGTGATAACGAATGTCAACAATGATGTTCTCTCCTCAAGGTCCATCCTTATCGTCCTACAGGACTCTTCATGCCTCCATATAAGGAACACTCGCAGCTCGGATTAGATGTTAAATCAAAGAATGATTTCCTAAATCAGATATGAACTTCTACACCTTATAAGCTAGATCATTAAATAAACGTTTGTTTATTGCTACTTATAATAATTATAATATAATGAAATGTTTCATTGATCTGTGCTCAATGACTGAAGTGTGAAATGAATGTTATGTTATGATTACAGTGATTGAAATATGTGTCAGCGTGTTAATATGACGAGGTCGTCACCATTTGCACTCACACAAGGACAAAGTTGTCATGAGCCGGGGTGAGTACTCGTCTCATCATTCACCACCTTTGAGCTTTGATTGCAGGAGAGGGAGCAACAGCTGTTTCTCATCAGCGGGCCGGCTTTATAAGGAGGAGGAAGACCAGAATATGACGCCGGATGATTGCCGTTAACTGGTAGTTGCTTGCCCTCCCGAGTTTTTTTTTTTTTTTTTTTTTCCTTTTTTTTTTTTACTCTGTTTGCTCTTACAGTTTTGAATTTTAGACTATTTGGATATTTCGCTGATGCGATGTTTGATACTCACCTCAGGTTCCTGGATTCTTGGATAACTCGCTCTGCTCCTGGAAGGACATCTCTGGTTCGATCCTGTTTGTCTCCTCCGCCTGCCGACCCGCTCTCCACCTCGCTCACGCTCCCTCTCCGGATCAATATCCTCGCTCACTCTCCAACTCACCTTCATCTTGGATATCACCCTGGCTCACTCCCCCTCCAAACAACAACTCTTCTTCCGCATAACGCCGCTTCCTGAGTTGGATACCCACTGGACATCAGTGCGCCCTTAGTTTCCCATTAAATAAATATCATTTTACCTTTTACTGTCAAACCTGTCTCTGATTCTGCATGTCTTGGGTCAAGCACATACCTCAGATCATGACAAAGTAAGGTAAAGTTAAACTCTGACACATAGATAGTCCTTTACCCAGATCAGAGCCTCCGGATCAAAGAAGGCGTGTTTCTGAGATTCTTGGTAATATTCCTCAAACTTGTCAACCTCTGGTTGGCTACACAAATCATAACATGAGAACATTAAAACCAGATCACTCTGGTGATTCATCAGTTCTAGAGAAGCTTCAGACCGGCCGTCTGAAGCAAAACCTCTTTAACCATCAAAGCTTTTGACACGTCGTCAAAACCTTTCTGCACCTGCGACGCTGACACCGCAACAGCTCCTGCAGAACAAGCTGATGTCGTTTAGACTCCTTAAGAGTCCCAGACGCGCGGTTCCATCCGTCTGTCGTGACCTGGAGACAACTCTAAGACCGGTTTAGTGGTGCCGCAGTTTCTTCTACGGACCTCGGTGCCTGGAAGTCCGAGGACTTCGACATTCCGGATCTATCACGAGGGACTTCGAGTGGGTATGTAGACACGACAGATAGCGTCTGATGTGTTTTTTATAATAATCATCTTCATAGCTTAACACAAACCAAATTCTTTTACATCCAGAACTTGGCTCTCCTAGATACGGAGGTTCTGATAACACCACATTCACACCTTGGTTCATGCATCACATCTAGTTCCATCCATCACAGTAAATGTTCGTTAACCTGTCGTGTTTTAATTGTTGGTAAAATAAATTCTAACTTTTATGAACCTGACCCTAACCCTGGATCTAAACAAAGTGTGTACAATCTCCTAATAAATAAAGAGTCCTAGAATCTTCTGATAAACACGGTAAAGACCGAGCAGAGGTGATATTCTATATTTAGATAGAGTATCACAGCTTATTGGTCATAAGTAGAGGTAACATATATATTTAGAGCTCTTAAAGCACTCAGTTTACCAAACCCTACAGACTCGTCCTTTGAAGTGAGACAAAAGACACCAACGTCTCAGAGATGGAGGGAAGAAACATTTCTCGGTTGGAGGCGGTTGGGAGGAACCCTGGCGTTGCGAAAAAGCCGTTCCTGACACCTCAGCGGCCTGATTCACAACACCAGCTGACCCTCTCCACCCACACACAGGACGGTGCGGTGAACAGGCGTCTCCAGACTCCAGCGTGAGGTTCTACCTCACTCCTGCAACAACATGCACTGATGAAATCCCCTTTTCCTCAACACTATAGTCACTGTTTGGGTCAAACGGCAGTAACAGCTGAAGGGGCCAACGTCACCAGACAGCATGCAGTACACAGGGCCTCCACCAGAGGGCAGTTTCTGCGACTCCTGATGCCACCTGGTCAGAAACCATGACTTCACCTGCAGGAAACACAAGAAAAAAGCCACAGTTCATTTAAAAACTGGTGCGGCAGATGCAGCGTCTGAAACGCAAATAAAAATCACACACAGCAAGATGAAAAGAGGCTGTGAAGGCAGCGGGGAAAGTCTTCAGGAGCATCAGCATTGCTGCACAAGGCCAGGTCCTCACGCATCACACGGCTCCGTGTGCTCGTCTGTTTATAAAGGGCTTTGGAAAGCAGGGCAGGGTTATGATGAAGCTGAGGATAACTTTGGTTTCACAGCAGTGAACCTTAATCCAGCTCGGAGCCGCCCCGCTGAGCGTGGAAACCCAAATCATGTCATGGAACCGGAGGTTTACACGAGCAGGCATCAGTTAGTCACTAGTGTTGCTCACTAAGCTGCACTACTACAGAAAACAGAGAGCAGCGATGGATTCATTCAACTCCAGCTGTTCTCCAGACTACCAGTCAGGATGGAGAAGCAGGTGGACATCTGCTGGTGCATCAGGATGATGCCTCTCAGTAGCTTGTTTCTGAGCTGGTGAAAAATACTAATTAGGACGATCCCTTAACTAAATCCAGAGGAAACAGCTAGCAGATAATCCCGGTGGAAGTTTTAACGTCTCTCAGTGGGAGACAACTTCTAATCCATGAAATCTATCAGGGTGTGGCAGCCTGGAAGCTGGGTCCCTCTGGCAGAGCAGCACCAGCCGGCTCGTCAGGAGCAGCCACCGGGCTGTCTGTCTCTGACGCGCACACACACACACACACACCCACGCACACACCCACGCACACACCCACGCACACACACGCACACACCCACGCACACACACACACACACGCACGCACGCACACACCCACGCACGCACACACCCACGCACGCACACACCCACGCACACACACACGGATGATTCCTACACGTCTGTAAC